CTCCATCGCTGTGATCCAGATGAACAATAAGCCAGTAGAACGGGTTAGTTTATTCTGTGTCAACCAAGTGGCGCTTTTTCACCATCAATGGACGTCATGTGATGGTCCTCATTTACCTTCGTTCTTCAGTCAGTCTCTAGCCACTGCACTATGTGTTATGTGCTTGTATACAAACTCCTTAACGTAATCGTTATGGTGCTTACTGCCAGCAACTCTTCTGTGGCCTACATTGCTCTATCAAGACAACACATGTCATCGGTTCCCAATTGCGCAGATCGATGATCATGCTGTTGATAACTGGATTGTCTGGTCCAGACTCGATTATTTACAGACCGCCGCCATATAGCTGGAATATTGCTGAGTGCGGCGTAAAACTAAACTCACTCACTCACTAATCACCATGGTTCCTAGTATGGTGATCTACCTTCAGATGCTGGCGATATATAGCCCGTGTTTTATATTGTACTGTCTTCTTTAATTACACTGTTTTAGTTTTACATGCTAGTTTTATGTTCATATCTGTGATACTCTAGTATTTCTACTGTCCATCGTCGACAGGTTTAACTCTTCACAATGTTTTCACTTTTGATTGTATAAATTGTTTTCGACATGATATGGCTGAAATACTGCCGATTAATATTAGCTCACTCACTCACTCACTCACTCATTATCAAGACGCCTTCTTACTGACTAGCATACGTTTTGCATTTGTCTACAACCAAAACAAACATCTTTTGAAACAGGCGTTCGTAACAGACAATATATACAGTGCTTCATTACTTCGGTTAAACCTTATTTTAAATGCTGTAAAAGTTGAGGCCAGTAAAGGTAATTGATCCCACTCCAGATCTAGTCATCCTCTTTATTCCAATAAAAGAATGGCTTGTATGGAGTGATGTGTCTTGTAGAAAATGAAACGTATAGCATCGATGACCGCGTTTACTGATTGATGTGATATACTAATCAAAACAAATCTAATAAGACACAACCCACAACCCACCAATGACGTCAGTTTTTCAGCTCTTGGTATATGTTCAGGACCAGGGTAATGGGCAACAAATCATGCTCCCAAAGAGATTGATTACACACTCGCATGATACATGATGTGAGGGAAATATTGTTTGATCGAAAAGGTACTTCCTTTTGTATCCAGAGAGACAGACAGAGATAAATGTCGTGTGTTGTAAAATGTGACGTAAATCTAGACATTGGAAATGGCAGGAACCTTGATACATGAAGAATAGTGTATCCTGGGAATGGCTACAGAACGATAAATTGTGTTCAAATAAAGCCCTGACTGTATGAAGGATGTCTGGTCAGAGGTGTGCATTCCCCAGAGCATGGAGGGGTGGTTAAAGCGTTTCTTGAATATGGCTCTGCTGGGTCAGAGGAGACGTCTCTGAACCTGGAAGGGTCCGCCAACTTGTCCCCTGAACATGTCTCAGATCTTTTGGGTGAGAGGAGACAGCAACACAACATCCAACAGAGAGATTGGTGGCAGTGTGGTTCGTGTGTGTAGTAAGACGGATTGGTGGCAGTGTGGTACGTGTATGTAATAGGAGGGATTGATGGCAATGTGGTACGTGTGTATAGTAGAAGAGATTGGTGGCAATGTGGTACGTGTGTATAGTAGAAGGGATTGGCGGCAATGTGGTACGTGTGTATAGTAGAAGGGATTGGCGGCAATGTGGTACGTGTGTATAGTAGAAGGGATTGGCGGCAATGTGGTACGTGTGTGTCGTAAGAGGGATTGGTTCCAGTGTGTTACGTGTGCGTATTAAAAGGGATTGGTGGCAGTGTGGTACGTGTATGTAATAGGAGGGATTGATGGCAATGTGGTACGTGTGTATAGTAGAAGGGATTGGTGGCAATGTGGTACGTGTGTATAGTAGAAGGGATTGGCGGCAATGTGGTACGTGTGTATAGTAGAAGGGATTGGCGGCAATGTGGTACGTGTGTGTCGTAAGAGGGATTGGTTCCAGTGTGTTACGTGTGCGTATTAAAAGGGATTGGCGGCAATGTGGTACGTGTGTATGGTAGAAGGGATTGGCGGCAATGTGGTACGTGTGTGTAGTAAGAGGGATTGGTTCCAGTGTGGTACGTATGCGTATTAGAAGGGATTGGTGGCAATGTGGTACGTGTGTATAGTAGAAGGGATTGGCGGCAATGTGGTACGTGTGTGTCGTAAGAGGGATTGGTGGCAGTGTGTTACGTGTGTGTCGTAGGAGGGATTGGTTCCAGTGTGGTACGTGTGCGTATTAGAAGGGCTTGGTGGCAATGTGGTACGTGTGTGTAGTAGGAGGGGATTGGCGGCAATGTGGTACGTGTGTGTCGTAAGAGGGATTGGTGGCAGTGTGTTACGTGTGTGTCGTAGGAGGGATTGGTTGCAATGTGGTATGTGTGTATAGTAGAAGGGATTGGTGGCAATGTGGTATGTGTGTGTAGTAGGAGGGATTGGTGGCAACGTGGTATGTGTGTGTCGTAGGAGGGATTGGTGGCAACGTGGTATGTGTGTGTCGTAGGAGGGATTGGTGGCAACGTGGTATGTGTGTGTCGTAGGAGGGATTGGTGGCAGTGTGGTACGTGTGTGTCGTAGGAGGGGATTGTGGCAATGTGGTACGTGTGTGTCTTAGGAGGGATTGATGGCAATGTGGTATGTCTGTGTAGTAGAAGCGATTGGTGGCAATGTGGTACCTGTGTGTAGTAGAAGGGATTGGTTGCAGTGTGGTACGTGTGTGTAGTAGGACGGGATTGGTTCCAGTGTGGTACGTGTGTAGTAGGAGGGATTGGTTCCAGTGTGGTACGTGTGTGTAGTAGGCGGGATTGGTTCCAGTGTGGTACGTGTGTGTAGTAGAAGGGATTGGTTGCAGTGTGGTACGTGTTAGTAGAACTTTCATTTTCATATTTGAAAAGAGTACAAAATATATATTGACATACATCCAATGAAGAAGAATATCAAATGAACGCCAATTCCTATATTTCTTCAAGGCCATACCTGTGTCACCATTTCTAACTCCGACAGGTGTGTGGCTGCTATCAGACAGAGTATAAATCATGTATCACACCATCCTAGTTACGCCATTGATGCGGGATTCAAGCCGAGAGGACACATCCAGAAAGCAGATGTTAAGTTGATATAAACAGAGAAATCAAGCGACGAGACATCTTGGCAAAAAACCTCTAAAAGGGATTGTGCCAGTATCGATTCGAACAAGAGGCTTATGGAATCAGGAGGTTTATTGCTACTGACAACTAACCACCTCTCTCCTGTTTCGTAACATGCCTCATTAATATTCACTATGACCTGGTCATCGGTTTGATCGTCAAACAACAAACTAGTTTTCTATGATTTTTGACATAATCGTAATTGACGACCCAGGTATAATAATTTGTGTAATGGATTCTGCCATAAAGTATTCACCGGCAGTTATATCGTAACTGTCACATGGAATTGCTAGCGACAGTTCACACCACCAATACGGCATGTAGAGCTGCTGGGCGTATAGATACAAACAGGCCACGCAAAACAGGACAAAGACACATACTACTAAAATTGGAAACTGCTACTTGACACTACCACTTCATCATTCGACAACATTGTCGACGACGATACATAGAGTGCTATACAGATCGGTACACGCTCGCGATGTTTCCCTCGGGGGTGACACGTCACGTCGAATGCTATGACGTCACTAAATAAAATTATGGAGACCAGGAATTAGTATGTATTTGCGGACGGTGCCATGGGCAGGTGGAGAGAAGTGATGGAATATTGATTAGAGGTTTGTGATGGTGTTTTCCAATATGGTGCACCTAGCATGGGAGTGTTTGTTGGACGAGAGGTTAAACATATGGTCCACCTTTCATAGTGCATCTGATACAGTAATGGAGTGATGACGATAGAATAAAACTATTGACACAACGGGTAATTTCCAGTTACAATGCTCATACATGTATATAGAGGTTAGGACATTCCATACCTTGAAAACACGCACACACACACACACACTCTCTCTCTCTCTCTCTTCTCTCTCACACACACACACACACACACACACACACACAGACGCCCAAGCAAAGACACGTCACACAGACACACAAGATCACACGGACGTCATTGTTGTATATTAATGACAGATGGTCTTGTATTTGTACATTGGTATACGTAATGTTAAGTGTGAAACGTTATTATCAACATGTGGCGATCGACAATTGCGGTCATTACCTCGGCTTGAGATAAGCCAAATAGAATGGTTCAAGTATGGTGTGTGATATCGATTCATATCGCCCTCCCTGCACCCCGATCAATATCTGTTATCTTGTATTCCTCGCCCCCGCCACCCGTATGAAGCGGTAATGCCTCTATGCTTGGTTGGGATGACGGCAATGTCGTCATACACATGACGGGCTGATACTGGAATTGCGAAGGTGGAACTTATTCTGGATAACATAATCCGATGTATGCTTTCACCGAAATATTTTTATAGATCACACAGTAAACAGTGTTGTCAATCAAATAGCAAAATATCAATTACTGGTTGTAGATATTGTGCCTGAGCATCGAGGAGTGTCAATGCAAAAATATAACAGTATTAGTTCTTCAAAGATTGAAATTCATAAGAATACATATATGAGAATGAAGCTTGTTGTCATTAAGTGTGTTATATCGGAGTTTGATGTTGTAAAGTATTTGAACTTTCAGCCCTGTACGTTTCTGCACAAAGGATCCACGTCACTGGGAATAGTGAATGAAGGGGTTATAATAGGCCATATACATCTAACGGCAACTCGATTACCAACCATAGTGGCAAGAAGAGGGAAATCAACTGTCAATATGGAACAAGCAGACGATCAGTAACAGACGGAAGCACTCTCTAATGGATGACGGCAATCTATGCACGAAGTATTGATAACAATTGTCCAAAAGCAGATTAGCGCCATCACCAATGACGGGAAGGGAGGAAAATGTCTTGATGATCACAAAATTAGTAAACACCTACCTTCTACGTTGAGTGTATCGCCCAAACCCCTCGGTAGAAAGAATCCTGGTTGAAGAACCAACACCGCTAACCTCCTCCACAGCTCGAGATTGTCGCTGCTTCCAATCCAAAGATATCGATCACTGTACCCAACTCCCACACATTTGCGCATGCGCCGGGATGACTGAACGCTGTCGAAAGCGTTGTTTTTCGTTGTATATGGTGTACAACTGGCGGGTGTGAGGACTGTCGTGTAATTATCATGTAGAGACGCGTGATTTGGGTCTCATCAGAGAACAGTTGGGATAATTGCGACGCGTTATGCGACACATACCATATGTATTTCCTGATCTTTACACAGGCAATACTTCTAAATTTATCATGAGTAAGCGTTATTCGCCCTAAATAGGACTCAAAATGTTTGCGTTGTTGATGGTGGACTGTGGCGTTAATAGATTTCTATATTGACCTGGATGGGTTGTTTTTTTGTTATTTGTTTGTTTGTTTTGGGGTTTATTTATATATGTATTTTGGTCTTTTTGTTTTTGTTGTGAAATGAGACACGTAGCTGGTGCACGTGTAATAGTGAAGGGGATATAGAGGTGGTACACATGTTGTGGTGAAGGGAGATATAGATAAAGAGCCAGAGAGATAGGCTGTCTGACCAAAACCCAATCGTTAATGTGTTTAAACGGTCACGAAAATAAATCCATCAATTAGGAAACAAAAGAATTCAGATCCCAGCATGTTTGTGTGATCTACGTGATACATTCAAACCTTGGCGGTGTCGCCTCCTGCTCCTAATACATGTGCGGTATGATTGCCAAGGCAGATCAGTTCCAGTCTTTATTAACATCATTGCAGAGTTCCTGTGGAGTTGCGTGGTGTAAAGGTGATCGACAACTCATTCCACATGTGGTTGATAGGGCTGGGGTCTGGTGACCGGGCTGCTCACTCCATGCGGGCAATTATTTCCTGTCCTAAACAGGCATCAACGACCATGACACGGCGACGTCGTACGTTATCGTCTGTGAGGACGACATCCTTTGCGATTGCACAGATCACAAATCAGTTGAACGTTGGTCGCGGAGAGTCCTTGGATGAATGTCCATCAGCCTCAGATACCAACATGTATTTACGACAATGTACCAGTGGCCATCAAAACAATTATTACGGTAACAGAACCTTTCCAGCATATGAATCAATATTCCCGAGTTCATTAAATAGTGAAATGGATGTCGGATCATGTTGACATCGTTGGGATTGTAATTGTATCTTGCAAATAGTTGATAACAGCTAATGCCAGAATAACGAAAATCGATTTCACTTTCTGATGATGAAGAAGCTTTACATTTTCAGCTCCACTTGTACTGGAGGTGAACGGACGCCTTGTAACTGGGGTGCACCAACACGTGGGAGGCCAGAGTCCGTCATACCTCTGGAAGTGGATGAGTGAGGGGGTTTGGTTTAACGCTGATTTGAACATTGTTTGGGTTTTACCACATTGTCTCAGCTTGACTGACTGACTGACTGAGTTTGGTTTTACGCCGCTTTTAGCAATATTCCAGCAACATCACGGCGGGGGACACCAGAAATGGGCTTCACACATTGTACCCATGTGGGGATTCGAACCCTGGTCTTCGGCGTGACGAGCCAACGCTTTAACCACTAGGATACCCCACCGCCCCTGTCTCAGCTTGAGATGAGAATCCCGAGGTGATGCAGGTTTTAAACTTTTTACCACGTTTGTGAAACCAAACAAATGGTGTTTTGATGACAAAGAAAGAATCATATTTCTTGATCCAGACATCTCAAGGGCACGCATCCCTTTACGCCGCTTTCATCAATATTCCAGCAATATCACGGCGGGGAACACAACACACGGGCTTCACATATTGTACCCATGTGGGCTATCGAACCCGGGTCTTCGGCGTACAAAGTGAACACTTGAACCACTAGGCTACCTCACAGCCGTATTACCCGGAAGAAGCAACAAATCATGTGATAGCATTGTGGCATTCCCATGTGTTAACTGGAATAGTCAACATATCAGGTTATAATGTTTGACTAGTTCCACGGTTTACCTGGAATACTGAACGTATTATATACTACTCACACTTTGCTAAGGATCACAAAACTTCAAAACTTTACTTAAACGTAGACTCATAATTTGAAATTGTATCCATTTAAAACTGGATAAATAATAAGATGGTAACCCTTCTTTAGGCAAACAGCCACTTTAATCTAACCTTATGCACTTGATACATGAGTAACCATAAAAATGGTTTTCATGGCACCAATCAATCATTTTGCAAATCATGGCACGGGTCATTGATAAGTACACAACACCTGTCAATAGCAGGTATGGGATCAACAAGATGCAATGGCATACTGAAACCTAGGATCCATGCTTACAATAAAGCTTAGATATTTAAATCCAATTTGACCCTACATCATAGTTTTCTGTTGAATCCATGATTTGATCCTTAGCAAAGTGTGAGTGTATGTAACGGGGTGATGACGATAGTATATGTGAGTGTCGTGTTATTCTCCTGTTTTACTTTGAACACTGAAAACATTAGGTAAGAGGACTGTATTGTTACCACATGAGATTTAGAACAGTGAATACGTTAGGTGACAATGTTATGTAAGCCAGGATCTAGATTTTCGAAGCTCTCTTAGCGCTAAGATAGTCGTAAGTGCCATACATTAACATTAACTTGCGACTATCTTATAGCGCTAAGAGAGCTTCGAAAATCTACTGTAGGCCCTGGTTTGCCCAGGACGGTGTAAGTTACAAAGGTCACTGTGTTCGTTGCCAGGGTGTCTGTAATAAACAACTTGATATGCATATGACCTCAAATGAATCCCGAAATATAATTTCCATGGTATTCCGATCCATGAATTAATGAAAAAATCCAATGTCTCATTGTGATTGCATGCCCGTGAGATTTCTCCGTGAATCCACGAAATTGAAACTGACATTTTGACAGGCACTAATTCCAGCCGAGAGTCTTACCGTATGGTTATCTGGGAGGGACATATCACGGAACTGCATTGTAAAGCTCTGTGGAAAGCATGGTAGTGTCATAGAATCATATTCGAGGGCTGTAAGGAGCACTTTGAGCGCCACATCAGAATCGTAGCTGCATGGGAAACTTAAAGCTCATATCACAGGGTCGCATTGTAGAGTTGGGTGAGAGACTTGGAGGATTAAATAAAGGCATCTCACTGTGGAGCTCTGGGGGAAACTTAAATGGGCATATCCGACACTATATGAGAGACGCCATATTTTGACCTACATAACAGTCTTATACAGTCTCACTGCACACTAGTGTAATCTGAGCTGATCGGCTGTTGTAAATATACAACGCCACATGATAATCCGATTATCTTCCGAAACGGATTCTATTGGATAAAACACACATTCAAAAAGCTAAGGTTTCCAATCTGGCAATTTAGACACGATAAGACTGTAAACGAGGGAATTATGTGTGTGGAGAAAATTATAGACAAATGACTGAACACGGTCTAAATGTAAAATAATGCAATCAAAACCCTGATATGTTGATCCAATAACTAACTATAATGTTTTAAATGTCACTATGTCAACACCTTGCATAGTACTGGCTGGAAATTGGTTTTGGAAAATGGCAGCCGAGGCGGTCGTTACTCAAAATCGGGTTCAAACCTCTTGGGTATCATCATTGATAAGGTCAAGCATGGTCGAAATGTAAATGTACAAGCAAAGGTCAACAGTCAAAGTATCTAGAAATAGGGAACAATTCACATCTATGTAGAAGCCCACTTTTGACTACATAGATGTCATGACAAATCGACAAAAGTTCTCAGAACAAAATCTTTCATAGTGATGGAGGGACTGTGGGGTAGCCTAGTGGTTAAAGCGTTCGATCGTCACGCTGAAGACCCGGGTTCGATTCCCCACATGGGTACAATGTGTGAAACCTATTTCTGGTGTCCCCCGCCGTGATATTGCTGGAATATTGCTAAAAGCGGCGTAAAACCATACTCACTCACCCATAGTGATCGAACTGCAAAGGTCAAATTAAAGTCGCAATGATTTTGCATAAAGGAAAGGAAAAGAACAGAACGGAAATTGTGAGCCTGACGGGTAACGCCTCGTACCAAATTCCATTACACCTGACACCCCCTAAAGCGGCCACCTTGACCCAGATTAAGATACTTGATGACAACCTAATGTCTTGAGGAACAGACTGCCGGGTTGTGCATTCGGTTCAATTGGAATCTGTTATCTTGGAGAATATTGCTCTTAACAGAGACTGGAGTACTGGAGTACGTTTGTAGTTTGGCTCCGGAGGTTTCAGCCACCCTCGTATATTGCATACGTATAATACGTCCTTATAACCTCTGTTACACACCATCAGAATAACAGAAAGTTACATCATCTGATCTAGATGACAGCAAACCTTAACGTAGTAAAGAAAATACTTCATGAAAAGTACAAACGCTTACATAGTTGATCTGGTTTTATAGTTAGCCAAAGTAGCAGTTGACATTTTAAAATCGCTTTTTCAAAGTATATTTCGGTTTAATAATAAATCCAAGACAAATAAACTGGGCATTTCAAGACCACAACCCCTTCTCAGAATTCATAAAATTTCAATACATCTGATATTTAATTTCACTTCTCATGTCATAACCTTACCGTTATCTGAGTCGTTAAGAGAACTTCTCTCTTCTCGCTTCCGGCGTCTACACCTGTACGTGATTAACCAGGATTAGCCAGGCCGTTTTCTGAAGACAACAATCTATTTTGACCTTTACAGAGAAAAATGTATTGATATTGATGCTCAGCTGTGTGCGTAAAAGTCCTCATACATATTCTAGCTTTACTATATACAGAATCAAAAGGATTAATAAAAAAATTGAAGATTATACATTAGCTTTTAGCATTGCACCATATAGATAAGCCCTGTCGCCATTGTTATGCTCATCTCATCTTTTCGAAGGCAAAACGTCTACCATTCCCCGATGTGAGTGAGAGATTATGGCTACTACGTGTAATCCCTTTACAAGAAAATGAAGCCCATATCTTTCCCATTTGTAATTTTTATGAAAATCTCAAGAACGTATTCTACTTAAATAGTATTGTAAAAAC